TGTCTTTTCAAAAATCTGTTGTGTTCAAAAATCTGTTTTATATATGAAATAATTTATTTCAGTAATTTGTTAATATTTATTTTATTTTTTAAGATCTTTTTTTATAGTAGAGTTTTAGTAACATGTTTCAGTTGTAAAGACAAAGGTCAGAATTACCATCATTACCCTGCTAATTGTAATCCAGTACAGCCTGCTTTATGTCCTGCAAAATACTAGGAAAAGTTAATTTTTACTATTTAAACAACTTTCTCTTGGTTAAGAGAGGGCTACAAAAGATGTCTCAATAAGAATAATTGTGTTGAGCAGATGTTAACTGCATTCGACTACTATATTGCGGAGGCCTCCAAGTGAGAAGTCAAGATAGCTGACGAGCCAGGCATATCTTGTTGCCTATATATAATGTGTTATGAACTTCCTTTAAGTCAAGTTCTTAAGTTATGATGAAAAACATCATTATCACTAAACCTTTTAAACCTATCCTTTACACTTATTTGTGGTCTTCAATGTAACTTATCATTTGTTGAACCTTACTTTTTTAAAGCTGTTTATTATCTTTTAATTTGCAAAACTTCAATTGTCATATAATTAACGAATTAAATGGAAAATCCTTTTGTAAGGAAATCAAAAACAAAAAAATAATAATATCTATAAATTTTGATACTCTTGTTCATCTGCTAGCAATTCTATATCAGATAAAAAATTGGAGCCTAGAGCTTTTGCTTTTCACAAATGCAGGCAAAATACGTAGTCTATATACATCCTCAACTAGTTGCCAGGCTTGAGCCTCTGTTTATTTAGATGTAATACAAGTATTATATTCAAAACTAATGCAAAGTTAATAAAAAGTGAAATAAAACGAAAAGTGTTGCATTTAATAATGAATAATTATTACAATTATTAACTAGAAATAGTAAATCTTATTATGATATATTTCATTAAAGCATTCAACACATAAAATTAAACTAAAGAGTACGTTTTATCCTTTTATCATGCTTATAGTTCTGAGAGTTTCATTTAGTGACCAATACCTATTATATTAGAAAATCATATACCTTTATTTAGTGTGTTTTTTTTTTTTTTGCTAAACTTAAAATCACCAATTATCACCTTTTTCATAAAGATTTTCAAAGTTTAACTCCATCAGATTATATAATTACAAAGTGAGAGGGAATATTTGGAACTTTGATTTAATAGAAAAGTGTAGGAACATTGATTTGGAGCCTTTTTTTTTTAAGGTCTTCATTTACCGACTGTATTCCATATCCCATTTTATAAAAATCGTATAACTTCATTTCAAAAAACCTTATTTAAATACCATAACTTAACCAAACTTAGAAGTAAACATGATTTTACTATATCATACAAATGTAGTGTTTAAATTCAAGTTAGTTTTTTAGTTTAAATGCCTTTACAGTATAATTAGTGTTATTTTATAATAACGTTCATAATATACGAGCAATTATTATATTTATAAAAACATAACAAAAATTTTTTGCAAATTGTAAAGTGACTAGATGTCAAGTTATAAAAAACTTTTATGCTGAGAAAGTTCAAGAAAATGACAAAAATTAAAGAATTTAAAAACTTAATGGAAATTTTTTGCACTACTTAAATAGTGCACAACCCATTATCTATTTTTTAATTATTTATCTGATTAAATAATTAGTTATTTATTTCACTTGGAATTTATTTATTATTTAATAAATTTAAAATTAATCAATTAATTTATAATTTAACAATTAATTTGGAACTAATTTTAAAAATACATTTCCTAATACATTTCACTAATCATTCTTTTTAATAAAAAATCAGACATGATCTTAAAAAGCAAATACAAATTTAGAAGACACTTATGTTAAATTTTACTAGACAATAATGAAAATAAGAAATTTTTGTAACATATTTTTCATACTTAAATTTTGCCGTAGCTTAAACCATACGCTAAAGTATTTACTATAATCCCCACTTATAACTTTAATGAAATAGTTGTGACAAATGTAACTAGCTATTTTTACTAACCTACTTCATTACAAAGAAAATAAAAAAACTAAAACAATTACCTACTTTAAAAAAATCATCATATTTTGTTTGATAAATGATTTCAAAATATTGCCAAACACTATTAAATAGGTCAACTTTAACAATACCTTTCGAACCAAGGGTATTTTCTGAAACACCTGAAACAAAATTTCAAGTAAAAAATAATTTTTTACATAAAAGATCATAACTTAAAAATTTAAATATTTTATCTTCAAGTATTTATACTGTATAAAGATAAAAAAATACTAGGGGGGATTTTTCTGTCAGTGTAAAATTGTCAGTGATAAAAAAAGAACAAAAAATGCTTCCTGACACGCATTCGAGACAACAAAAGTTTTCATAGGCAATTTAGCTTCCTTTCAAATTTTATCTGGCTTTGAGCAGTAGCTTCATCATTTCATAAGTGAAAATGTTCAATTAAAAAAATCCTGTATAACATTAAAAACAATTTTCAATATTT